TCTCAACTTGCTCACAATATCTCCCTCTCACAATGTTCAAAAATCTCTCTAATCTCTGTGTACAACTCTCCTCTCTTTTGATAATTGATTCTAATCTCCATATATATAGAAAACTAATACCAAAACAGACTAAGAATCCTAAAACCAAAAACAAAATAAATTAGGAATCCTATTAACCTCATGTTACCAAAATAGATTAGGAATCCTAATAGATTAGGAATACTGCTACCCAACAAGGAACTATAGTGAAGCTTGAGAACATCGCGCCCGAACAACCACGCATTTCATCATAACATGTTCCTGATGGTAGAGGAGGAACTTGTGCTCCTGTGTTGCGTCCCAAACACCTTCCAGGCAACGGAGAAAGAACTCATGCTTCACTCATTCATTTATTCATATCAAATTGAGATACAATTCGCTTTCCTAAGCCATCAAAATGAAATTGGCAAAAGGTTTTGTTGGAAAAATTATCAAATAAAAGTTATAGCATGTAAATTAAATCTGAATTAAATAAGTAAGAGATAAGAAAATCAGGCTTGAACGGAAAGCAATCGTGTAATCAGTGCCCTAGAAGATTGATGACTCGCCTATCGCCCTGACGTAGTCGGTCCCCTCTCCTAGTGGTAAAAGCCCCTGGAAACAGTCGGTCTCTATACTCGGGTGAGAGTACAAAGCTTCTGCTCAGATGAAGAAGATTGCCCATATAAAAGAAAAGTAAAAAGTTGTGACGATTTACCAACGTTGATTGATATGGATAGCTAGACGAAGAGATCCTTGTTAAAAGTTGTTCGCTCCCTTTGCTCTGACAATCGCGTGCCAGGTGATAGGGATGATGAAGACAATCTCCCCCAACCCCTCTCTAACTTTCTCTCTCTTCTCTCTCATTTTTCTATCTTTGGAGTTCGGAACGTGGGAAGGATCAGCGGCAGAGATAAACACATGAAGAGCTTGGGGACTTAGGGTTTTATTAAATGGGTTTTATATTAGTGAGAAGAGAAAGAGTACAAAGAAGTGGCTGTAGTTAGAGGGGAATTAGGAATTTTTAGTGGGTTAGTGGAGATTAAAGAGGAGATTAGTTAGTTGTCAATATTGACCTTTTCAAAATATCCAACAGCCCCCCCCCCCAAAGGAAATTTTGACTAAAAACTCAAAATCAATAAATAAATCAATAAATCATAAAAACAAATATAGGTTGGGGAATCTTTTGTATCGTGAATTCGGGAGAGGTAGCTTTCAGTTTTGACCTTTCCTTAGTGAGTTCATCGCCACCTGAGGGACATAATGGACTAGGCTTTGAATTAGGCCCATTGTACCAGGTATTGACGAACACACACACACACAATACGTCTTCATCTATTGAGCAAAGAGGGTTGAGCTTTAAAGGCTATGCTCACAATAATCCGACTCACGATAGTTTCTAGCGGTTAGCTCAGCCCCCACCCCCAACCACGGCCATCACGGTTCTTCTCACGTAGGTAAGTCCTCCAATGGTACTACAACTGGATATTATACCCTCCGTAATACACGCGTTAGACTTAGTAAGAGTAAAACTCAACCTAACCAGCTATATCATAAGAGCATCGTCACCATAAAGAAGGGGTAATAGCAGATGCTACATAATGATATATGAATATATCTAGGTCGATGCTCCACATGCGTGTTACTAGTCCAGCTTGTTTCTACCACATTGAACCTACATTGAGACTAAGTCTCCAAATAAAGGTTGGGTTATCACTATCAGTGACCTCATTTATAGGCTTAACCCCATCTCCTTCGATGAATCCAGAGTCACACTCCTGGATAAACTCTTTGTCAAAGGGTCGGGTAAGATTCTTCTCAGACTTTATAAAGTCTAAAATCACAACTTTGCCTAGCAGGCGTTGTATGGATTTGTCAAGTCCTCTAGTTCTTAAGTTATTTAAAATTTGCCCTTCATATTGTTGAAATTGACATTAGGTCACCTTCTTATTAAGTTAATTTAAAATTAGTCTCTCCAGGCAAGAGTACAAGAAGCAAGGGGAGGGTTTAATTTGATACAACTTATAAGGATAATGGAACCTAATAGCAATTTTTAATTATTTGATGGACTAATTTCAATATAACTTTTATTCATCATATAGAATGGAACCTAATAGCAATTTTTAATTATTTGATGGACTAATTTCAATATAACTTTTATTCATCATATAGAAAGAAGTTATAAGGACTAATTTCAATATAACTTTTATTCATCATATAGAAAGAAGTTATAAGATATACCTCTTGATTTGATTTGCGAGGACATTGATTCATCACATCTCCTATAACTAGGCATACTAGTTGACAAAGCATATTTATATCAACTCTAATCTTCCTGAAATATCAAGAGAAAACATTATATATGTAGTCAAAAGAAGAGCTATAAAATTGATTCTTTCTAGTCACTATTAAAATGATAGGACTAATGTGAAACTCAATTACTGCAGTTATATCTTCACATGCATGCATATGCACATAAATGAATGAAATTACTAATAGTTACATGCAAAGCATTCAAGAGAATCTTATAATAGGATTTCGTATCTTAAAGTATATTTCATACTTCATATGTATAATTTTTTTTAAATTCTCCTATTATAAGAAGTTACAAATTGGTTTCCTACAAAGGAGACATTCTAAATTTAATTTGGTTGCCTACAAAAGAAATATTCCAAATTTAAATTGGTTGTTTACAAAAGAGACATTCTAAATTTAAATTGGTTGCCTACAAAAGAGACATCCATCATAATGCAATAAAAGAGATAATCTTTACTTTTGAAGATTTAAAATATAATTCACCATATAAAATAGAATTAAAAGATGCAAACTTAGTCCAAAAAAAATTAAATTTCAGACTAATGAATTGCCATGTAATGTAGTTAACAAATTCATCAAGATACATATGCTTGAAAAAGTATGTGAATTCCGCTAGAGTCAACTTTCTGATGTAGGCATGGGTAGTTAAGAGTGACCAAAACTTTAAAACCAATGAAAGCACATCGTGACATGACGCATATTGGCAACAGATATAATGCTACACTAGGATAGCAGATGTGCTATGAATAATTAGTAAAATACAAATGGATAACCATAACAAACAAGTAAGTTTCAAAAAAGGTGTAGCAGATCATTATATACTTAAAATAATTCAAACATTCTGTTAATAAAAGAGAGGATGGAGTGACATTAGCATACTATGAATTAGATGTTGGTTTCCATGCTTGATTGTGAAAGTGTACAGATGGCATGCAGCATCTGTGCATAATTGTGTCAAGAGATCATTATAACTTAAGACACTCAACCCATCGTGTAGGAATCATGAACCTTATATAGTATCTCATAATCACAATAGTATGAGTTACTGACAATTGTAGATTAATATATGGTGGGTGAAGAAATAAAGTATCTCATAATCACAATAGTATGAGTTACTGACAATTGTAGATTAATATATGGTGGGTGAAGAAATAAACTAAAATTAACAAATTTCAACCCAAATTACTGACAATTGTAGATTAATATATGGTGGGTGAAGAAATAAACTAAAATTAACAAATTTCAACCCAAATTTTGTTGCACGAATATAATTTATTTCACATATGGGAGGAGTTGCAGAAGAAGATTGCTAAACTTAATCTCCAAACATATACCACAAGGATGATACATTTCAAATAAAGTTTATTAAAATCATTCCGATGTTACTAGTTCTTACAGGCAGAAGAACTTAGACCTCATTGTATATTTTGAGAAATATTTGAATCAAAACATATAAACAACTATAGAACTCTATGTAATTGCACAGAAGAATACTACTGTATGCATCATCGAGAAACTTTTTTTTTATTTTTTAATTCTCTTTTGGATGAACAGTAACAGAAACAATAACAATTAAATTTTTTTAACAGTCATAGAAGAATTATAAATTATAATTATTTCGGATTTAATACTTAAATGCTATAATCCCTCAATCTTCTAGATTATTGGAAAAATTATTAAATAAAAGTTATAGCATGTAAATTAAATCCGAATTAAATAAGAGATAAGAAAATTAGGTCTGAACGGAAAGCAGTCGTGTAATCACTGTCCTAGAAGATTGTGAATCCACCTATCGCCCTGACACAGTTGGTCCCTTCCCCCTAGCGGTAAAAGCTTCCGGAAACAGCTGGCCTCTGTACTCGGACGAGAGTACAAAGCTTCTGCTCAGATGAAGAAAATTGATCATATAAAAGAAAAGCAAACTGTGGTGACGATTTACCAACGTTGATTGATATGGATAGCTAGACGAAGAGATCCTTGCTAAAAGTTGTTCGCTCCTTTTGCTCTGACAGTCGCGTGCCAGGTGACAGGGATGATGAAGACAATCTCCCCCCAACCCCTCTCTAACTCTCTCTCTCTCTCTCTTCTCTCTCATTTTTTGTCTTTGGAGTTTGGAACGTGGGAAGGAACAGCGGCAGAGATAAACACGTGAAGAGCTTGGGGGTTTAGGATTTTATTAAATGGTTTTTATATTAGTGAGAGGAGAAAGAGTCCAAAGAAATAGCTGTAGTTAGAGGGGAATTAGGAATTTTTAGTGGCGTTAGTGGAGATTAAAGATGAGATTAGTTAGGTGTCAATATTGACCTTTTCAAAATATCCAACAGATTTCTGGAGTGTAACAGATTGAGAATGGCATCCTCTTCACCAGTGGTGACTCCTCAAGTCTAATTGGTGGAGCGATCTGTGATCTCATGCCCTCGTGCTTTTGGGTAGTGAGAGGTGGACGGAGGGAGGATGATGAGTGGCGATGGAGAAGGTTGAGGTTGAGGAGAAGTGGTGGAAGAGGGGGAGGATCTACATCTGCTTGTGGTTATTGTTAGAGAGAGAGAGAGAGAGAGAGAGAGAGAGAGAGAGAGAGAGAGGGGGACTGTTGGTTTTTTTTAATCTTTTTTTAGATAAATACAAATATGCCAATGTACCGTATTTGTTACTTTTGGACTTACAGATACATTATGAAGTATCCTGGACGTATGGGTATTACTAGAAGTACGTGGGTTCAAAGATAAATGAGTAAACTTTTGGGTTTAAAAGACAAAAACCCCTAAATGTAAATTGCAACCTTGGGAAAGCACAGAAGGTGCTTCCACTTCCCAGCCCACTATACAAAACATCAACATACAAGTTACTGTGTATGCAACTGTTCTCTACAGCATTGTGGGTGCTTCACATACAGCAGTTATAGCTTTGCATATGCTACATGGAGCTACGGAGAAGTCCGGTATCTGATGCCGAGCTACACTCTAATTGTACTGCTAAACTCTTGCTGGTTCCCTTACATGGGTCACCAAACGTCTCGTTCGAGACACTAATACTGCATCTATTCCTCCCTTTACAAGCCTGCAAGGAAATTTTCTAATATTCAGTGATCAAGGTAGGATAACTTGACACGGTGTCCCAAGCTCAAATCTTAAAATGAATGGTAAATAGCCATCCGACTTTTAAGTTTTTACTGGGACATGTGTTGCCTCCTGATTGTCTAATTACTAGTCCAAGATTTTCCATACAGGAACATTTGCCTCGTAACTGGTCAGGTGAATAGTGTACACACCTTAGATGCTACCGATAGTGAGCTTTGTGCATGGCATTTTCCGATGGAGAACCCTCGGCAACTGCCACTTGGAGTCCCATAGCTTGCAAATGTTATAGCAGAGATTTTCTTGCCCTCATCACAGCGTAAGTGCATTTCCGGTGAAGTTTTGTTGAGCAACACTTTTCCACCAGCTGAATCTGGAATAGACCAGGCAGAGAGTGGTGGATAATAGTGTTCAGACATTTTTGCACATACTGTTTTGGTGGAGTGCACCTTCAGGGAAATCTTTAATGGGTTTCCACCAGTTTCGTCAAAGAGCACAAGGAGATTGTTTGAAGGCTGTAACCATTCTCTTGGAATATGGTACCTGAAAAAGTTTAGCCATGGAAGTGGATTTTTGATGGTACAGATATGGTCAACATTGCTATATTCATTACAAGCTCATAAATCCAATGGCAGAATGGTTAAGAGAAGTTACAAAACGCAAATCAAACTGAATGGTCAGCTTGATAGGTAGATATATAGAGATGAAAAACATCTTATTGCACGTAGACCCCCACATGACATTGAAGCATCAGGACTTGGGTATTAGCATATGCTATAATTGTGGATGCATCATTCAATAGCTTAACCTTTCGGGTAAGTATAGCCTCAACATTGATATGTGCAGAGCAAAATCAATTTTGGAACTTAATCATGCTACGATGCAACAAAAACTGAATCCAAAAATCAAATATGTAATTGTAGGAAGGTAGTGATACCGGGTTTGAGTTGGCTCCCCACAGTTTGTTGTGCACTTGTCTTCATTATAAGCTCCACGATAGTTGCAACTTCTGGGACATCCAGTTTTAGGGGCTACCAATGACCAGAACCTTCCAATGCCATGACCATTTACCCAAGCCTGGCCCTTTCCCATGCTCCCCAGATCAAGAGCGACGGTATCATTGCCTTCAGGGGCATCGAAAGAAGTCTGCATTTGAAATATCCAAAGATCACTAAGAAGGTCGACTAATAATTTCAATACACTAATCAAGAAAATACAGAAATTTATTAGACAAAGATAATTATGGCTTTACCTTATACCATGTAAATGCTGATGGTAAACTATCAAGCTGGAGAGCAGTCCAATCTGCATTTTGTTGTGCCTCTGGATCATATATTTTTTTCAACTCCCCCTTCATTCCTACCTGCAGTTACAAATAAAAAGAAAGATATCCTATTACCATTCGAATGCCCTGAATGGGGTTGGAGAAACTGTTATGAAGATAAGATCAGGAGTTTATCCAACATGATGCCTAAACTTAAAAATGTACGATTATATCAAAGAAGATACAACATGATCCCATATTTTGTTTGCAAAGGAAAATGATAAAAATGTCACCTTTTCTAGTGAACACACTCCAGTGGAGACTTTTTACAAGATATCATTACTTATTAACTTGCAGATTTTATTATTATCTATAAATTTTAAAATTAATCACTAGTTAAAAGAAATTTTTTCTGAGTATTCAATACCATTGTTTCCTCTTTTTTGAATTATTTTCTCCAGGTAAAATGGTAAAAAGTGTTATTTTTCACTCATGACCCTATTTACACCTTCCCCAGAGAGGTTGGAAACTTTAGACCAAAAGAAACATCTAAAATATAGAATGGAAATAACTGAAAGTCTCTAAAGAAAGAGCAACTTTCAAATCAATTGGATGTGAGTATATGAGGACATACTGAAATGATGTACCTGATACGTCCAAAGGGAGCCGGAAAGGTCAATTTCCCCACCTTTCATGCCAATCAATTTTATCTGTCCCCTAAGTCCAGCTCCATCTTTCTCCAAAAAAGCACCATAATTCTATGAATTATAATAGACTTGTCAGGTGAACACATCACACAGATAACAACTAAATCCTACAGCATAACAGATAACAGTTGACGGGGAAAAAAAGGATATGCATCTTAGGTCACCAAGCGATTAGTATGAAAAGAATAACTACATATAAAAGATAGAGGTAGAACTTAGGATGGGGTTTAAACGACTCATGCAAGAGCTTTTGTCCATAATTTGGAAGGTTAGTCTGAAAGAATTGGAACAGGGTTTGATGGCGATGACTATTGCTTGAAGCAATGGACCCATGGTTACAAACCCTAATAAATGAATAAGTTGTAGTTACTTGGTACACATCAGAGAGACTAATCTTCTACTGATAGTAATAACAAGTCCAAGCAACCAAGAATAGAGCCATATACCTGCAATCCCACGGTCTCAGATAATAAAGCTAATTCGTTGAATCCCGGAATCAAATAAAGAGGCTGGACGACCTTAATCCATTTACCATGTCTACTACCTTCAAATCCAAATGATGTATTAGATGCATGGAGTACCTCAGTACAAGACCATGGGAATTGAAGGAAAATTACAAATTATCATATACGCAAGTTATTGATAAAATGCAAATTAGTAATGTAGAAATTGCTTCTTTAAAGAACATTACAGAAGCAAATGCTACATGCAATACATACCTGCAAGACGACCATTCACAAAAATTCGGACCACATCACGTATGCTGTCAATAGTAATCGATGGAAGTAAGCCTTTTTCCTCCCAAAATGATATGTCTTCATCAGAGACGTGAACTCTGAGTAACAACTGATATCAGTAATCACTAATAGATATGACAGGGTAAATCCATAGAAGTACATTCATACACTTGAAAACGTAGAATTAGTAATTAGAGAAAGAAGAAAGAGGAGATGATTTTTTTTCTCTTCTATTCAGTTATATGTATGATAGGAGAGTCAATACATAATTAACCCATAAGCAATGTGTGACTAAACAATAAGACTAATTAACTCTCTCACAACACTACCCCTCAAGGTGGAGCGTATGCATTGGACATGTCCAGCTTGTCACACGTGCTTCCCGAGAGGTTTAGTGAGAATATCTACAAGCAGATTCTCTGAAGATACATACTTAGCCACAACAATTCCTCCAGCATCTTTTCACAAACTAGATTACAACTCTTAATATGTTTGCCCTTCTCATGGAACACATGCTTCTTAGCAATATGAATAACGGACTTGCTATCAACATATACTCTCACAGGATATTTTAGGAGGAAAATCGATGTCTATCAAAAAATCTCTAACCCAAACTAACTCACATGTTATATTTATCATTGCTCGATGCTCAGAATCTACACTAAACAAAGAAACCACCAATGTTATAGAAAGCGGTAGGCGGCCTATGCATTAAGACTTGAGACCTAGAACCTAGGCGGAATCTAGGTGGTTCCTATATCTTTTATTTTTTTAATTACAATAATTAATGGTAAATGTCAATGTAGTAGAAAGCTTAGGCGTCAGACCGGCGCCTAGGCGAATTTCTTTCTTCATTTAAGTTGTGGTGAAAGAGGTTTTACTGAAGGTCGGAGGAGGTAGAGAAGATGTTCATTGTTGGAGGTTGGAGGAGTTTGAAGGAGATTGGAAGACGTGAAGGTTGCAATGGAACAAACATGATCAATGCATAAGGGCACAATCTACGTGAGCAGCCCACGCTCCCCTAGGCGTTCCCAAAAGCTAAGTGGGTAGCCTATATACTGCCTAGATGCTAGGCACTAGGTGGGTGGCCTAGGTACCGCCTAGATTTAGGTGTACTCCTAGGTGGGCTATACAAAGACTTTTTAAAACATTGGAAACTGTAGTTTGTTTCTTTCTTTTCTAAGACATAAGATTTTCTCTAATAAAAATAGTAGATACCTATCAGAAGGTAATCTTGTCAAATCTGCATGACAAACCTACAACTATAGTATGCCCACAATCTGAATAGAATTTCCTCCTTCTAGGAGCTTTCTTTAAATATTTGAGAATCCTTTTCAAAACTTCCAAATGAATCCTCTTGGTGCCAAAAAAATGGCTAATTACACTAATAAAAAAAGTGACATCTAGCCTTTAATTTGGTAGTTTAACTTTTCCACTAATCTCTTATCTACTCTGGCATCAGTTAAAAGCTCCCTCAGATCTGCTAGTAGCTAGTTCTTCACATCCATCAAAGAATTATCACTCCTACGCTCCAACATCTCTGGCTCTAAAAGCATATTAAGGATATAATTCCTTCATGATAGGGGAAGGTCCTTCTTGGACTTGGCCCCCACAACACCGAAGAAATACCTTAAGGATCCAAGGATCCTTTGTTTGGAAATCTGGAAATGATGTTGTAGGTACTTCTTTAGGCTAGGTACTTCTTTAGGCTTTCTAATCCAAACTAACACAAGATTTCATTGTGAGCACAATATCATCTACATACACTACAAGGAGAATCCTCTTCCCAGAGTGAGTCCACTAAAATACTGAGTGGTCTTTCTGTGCTCAACAAAGGCCAAACTACTGGTCGTCCAATGTAAAACATCCAAACCATGCTCTTAGAGACTATTTCAAGCCATAAAGTGATTTCCTCAATCTACACACCTTTTCACACCCGTTTGAGCAACAAAACCTGGTGGTTGCTTTATGCAAATCTTGTCTTTCAGGATGCCATTGAGAAAAGCATTCTTGATGTCCTATTGATGAAGATGTGGAATGTCGTAGCTAATGAGAAAAGAACCCGCGTAGAAGTAATATTTTCCTCAGCAAAGAAGGTATCTAGATAGTCAAGCTAATACACCTGAGAATACCATTAGCTGTTGGCTTTCTTATTTTGATGATGTTTAACAAACAATTTACTTCTAATGTTGTTTATCTAGTGTTTGTGTTTTTGTATTTATTCTAGACAAACAACGAGTTGGAGGATGGTTGAAATAGAGCTTCAACGATGATATCCAATGGAGGTTGGCGGAATGTCGGTGAAGCTTATGCAATTCAAAGTTAAAGATCAAGTTCAAGCTTCATCCGCAACGTGTACCAAGTCAAGCTTAATTGAAGATCAAGATTGCTTGGGTAATGTAGTTTTAGGTTTTATATTATGCGTGTTAGTACTTTAAGCTCAATCATATACACACATACACGCTTTGGTTTTGATTTTGTATATATACAGTTATATATATACATATATGTTTTTTGGTTTAATAGGTTTCGAGTTTATATATGAAACAAATGAATAGAATTGGAAATACTATTTTGTTTCATGTTTATGTGCCTATATATGATTTCGTCCTTAATATTTAATGAAATCATATTTAGTGTTTTGAAAATATTGCATAAAATATGCAATTTTGTGAAAATTCTGTATTCTTAGTTTTTAGACTTAATAATAATCATATACATATTTTATTAAGTCTATATAATCATTGTGCAAAGTTTCAAAACATGGTTTAGCCAAAATATCAAATTTCACATGTTTACATTTTCGTGTTTTGAACTATTTTGCAAAATGATGATTTTTCACTAATGGGAAATGCAATTTGGAAAATTTTTTTTGTAACATGTTCACTTACATGTTTATATATTTTTCCCAAAGTTTCATAATTTTTGGACTTCATTTGTTATTTTTAACATATTTTTAAAAGTCTCAAAAATAGCTTTAAAAACCAGTTTTTGAATATGTCAGTTTTCGGTTGACCGAACCTGAGTTCATATGCTCACTGGACGACAGAGAGTCTGTCGGTCGACCGGTCCGGTCGACCGATAAAATTTTCGGTCGACCGATGAATTCTCCGGTCAACCGACGAGAGCTTTTTCAGCTTCCAACGGCTAGTTTTCTTACCGTTGCTGGGGCTGTTTCTATCTTTTCTAGTTTTCTTACCGTTGCTGGGGCTGTTTCTATCTTTTTGCTTGGGGTTTTTGGCTGAGTTGTGAGAGAGTATAAATACCCCATTACCTTCAACTCTCAAGCTAATCCAAGAAGTTTTTTAACAAGGGTTTTAAAAAGGGTTTAAGCTTGTTTTAAGCTTGTTTAAGAGTTTGGTTTGTGAAGATAATTTCACAAGGGCTTGAGGAGATAATCTTTGGTGTTTGGGCTTCAAATCATCTCTCTCTCACTCTTGTTATTTATTGGAGAAGTTTTTCTAAACTCAATCTATCTTTACATTTTATTGTTTGAATTATCATTTTATTAAGCTAGTGTTTATATTGAGTTTAGTTGATTTTATTTATCTCTTTGTTCACACACAACCTATTGAGCTTATTGTATTTACATTCATAGTATAATTTAGGGTTGTGGGTTTGTGACATTGAGACAAACACTTTGTATTGAGCCTAATTGTGAGGATTCACTTGTAATACACTTGTACACCGAGAGAAGTGTGTGGTGAGAGACGGGGTCGAATCCAAGAGGAGTGGCGTCGGTTGACGTGCCTAGGGAGAGGTTGTAACCGAGCACTTGATGAGGAGGACACGGGCTAGGACCAATACTTAGTGTGTGAGGTGTGATTGCATAGTGATTGTATTGTGAGGTGTAAACGTTGTTCGGGTGAACGTAGAAAACCCGATTGTGATAGTGAAGATCTCCTCGAGGTGAGGAGCGGAGATGTAGGTCGTGGGGACCGAATTCCGTAATCATATTGTTTGTTTGTGATTGCATTGACGCACTTACTTTTATGTTCATATCTTATATCGCTTTTGTATATTGCTTGTTGATTATATTGCCCACTATCTAGTTTAGATTGTTTACCCTTGAGATTATATATCCTTGCATATATTTCACTATATACCTCTTTGCTAGGATATATCATATTGTATATTGCTTATCCTAGTTCATATATATTGTTGCATTTCATACTTGCTAGGATAACTTGTTAATTAGTTTTAATTGACATAAAATCGGATTAGATTAGCATAAGACCCTACTCACCCCCTTTAGGGTCTAACAATTGGTATCAGAGCTTGGTGCTCTTTGATTTAAGGTCTAACCGCCTTGAGTTAAAGATCCAAGTTATCTTATTTGTGCTAATCTAGTTATGATTGCATTTGTCTTGCTTGCATATATTCATATATATATCTTGAATATGAATATATTTCGTTTAGGCTATGAATCCAATGTTGCTCCTAAATTCATTGATTTTTCCTATGCACAATGGGCTTTTAGATTTAAACTATTTGTTAAATCTAGAAATATTGACTTATGGGAAGTTATTGACTGTGCTTATATTATGCCCACATTGGAGAAATCCAAGTGGAGTAATCATGATAATAAAATGTTTACAATGAACAAGCTTTTGTTAGAGTTTTTGCTTAATGCTTTTGACTCATCATTTTCTAACAAATTTATTCATTTTGATAGTGCTTACAAACTTTGGAAATTCATTGAAGCACATCAAGGAGACTTGGAGGCAATCCGACAAGCTTTGGAGGATTTTTCTTTAAGTTCATTTGGAGCATCATGCACACGGCCACAAGAGGATAACTCTTGTGTAGTAAGCGATTCCGATTCCGAAAATAATTTATCTATTGATGAACTCGCTTGTGCATATGAAAGATTATCTCATGCCTATACAAAATTGCAATATTGATGAACTCGCTTGTGCATATGAAAGATTATCTCATGCCTATACAAAATTGCAAAATAATTTTATTAATCTTAAAAGCAAGCATTGCATATGAAAGATTATCTCATGCCTATACAAAATTGCAAAATAATTTTATTAATCTTAAAAGCAAGCATATTAGTTTAAAATCCGATCATGAGTTGTTAGCCTCTAAACTT